AAATTCCAGTCTATTTAATGACCATTCCAACACAATAAAACAATTTTACCTTTGCAAATAGACACTGTCTCTCATTGGCAAACAAATAATTTTACCTAAATGTGGCTACACAATATTTCATGACAACCTACATGCATCCCTGATAACTAAAGTAGGCAATCTCCAGAAAACTTCCCACTCACCATCTGTCCCAGCTTTGCTTCACTCATACCTCTCCTCTCTTCAAGATTCTTTTTTTCCCCAGAGCCTTCCCAGTTTTTCTAGAAAATGCTTTCAACTTTCTTATTGTTAACCTACTGCTATTAGGTCTTGAACATTCATTTGGGTCTTTACTTACCCTCTAATTCCTATATGTTTGCTATTCAATCTTGTTTCTCTACCCAGAATCAAAGATAAGACCAATACTTATTCTAATTTTGTATCACTGCAATGGCTAAGGCCAGATCTATGGTTAATGCATCACTTCCTCTTAGATGTACCATCATAACCCAACAATTCACCTACCTAGTAGTTTCTAAAATAGAAGTGGTTCTTTGGAATCTCATGACAATCTCACCCTTCCCAGAACTTTTCAGTCTTGGGAGTTCAAAAAAATGGATTAGCATATTAGCTAGTCATTTTCTAAATCATGTAGATTACAAACCCTTATATAATATTAATAATTATTAGAGTCATACAAACATAAATTGTTTTTCCCAGTATATAACTGTTACACAAATGAGTCAAAGACCAAAGATGGCCTCTGTATATTGGCCGTTACATTGTTTATTTCTCCATGCAGGCTAAAACCCATTAGGACAAAAGCCCATGGCTACCAAAGTTTTACACGTACAATAACAGCTCAAATTTTTATCACAATAAAAATATAGACCCAATAAGCAAATCTTTAGCCATTCAGAGACTGCTCTCTGCATGACACACAAAACCTCACCCAACCACTCTTTATGCTCAGAAGACAGAGTCTTGTCATTATAAGGCCCTAGCCACTGCACTAGGCCTTCAAATCTTTCTGACACACACTCACCACAGCTGCTGTATGCACAGATACCACTCAGACTCCCAGGGAGTTCCCTTGCCCTCTCCCTCTCCTGAACATTCCCTGCACTGAAGCCTCTGGACAGGCACCTGCTAGGAGGAAATTACCTACAAACAAACTCATGCAGGCATCACCCAGTAAAACTTGTGTTCATCATTGCCTCTGTCTCATGGACGTATCTTTTCCCCTGATTAGCCCCCAACACCCAAAGCCCTTACAATAATGTATAATATTCATTTCATAGGATGTTAATAGATTGTACCTGAAAAATATGTCTAGTGGTGTGTTTAGTTTTGGAAATGTTTTAAAGAGATATCTTTACTCTGGGGCATCCCAGAGCCTTTACTATATTGTGACTCTCCAAGAGAATAAAAAGCTTGGTATTTCACAGACTCCCTTCACCATGGAAACATTCACTGGGTGCATCCTGTGAAAGCAGATGGCATGGCCAAGCTATCACATCAAGAAAAGTGGTCTCTGGGCTGAGGTAGGTGGAAAATAGCATAGAGGGGAAAATAACTTCTCTGTATGTCTCACATAAACACTGGTTTCTTCGAATCCCCATTTTCCACTAGAGCTTCTTGAAATATAGCTGATTCTAGAGCTAGAGAAAAGAAAGCATTAAATAAACCTGAAATATCTTTTTTCAATGAAAGTAATGAACCCCTCATAGGATAAAGTGACATGTATAGGAACTTAAAGGGCCAAATCAAAGATGATTTAAGCATCAAAATAAATCATAATACCATAGTAAACCTATCAAATAAAATAGGAATCTGAATGTACATGCTAATATACCCATCCCTCAGTCCATGGATATTCAACTTCCTTATATAAAATGGCATCATAAGGGCTGGGGATTTAGCTCAGTGGTTCCACTGCCTGCCTCACAAGCACAAGGTCTTGAGTTCAATCCCCAGCACCAAAAAATAAATAAATAGATAAAATAAAATGGCATCATAGTACTTGCATATATGTACATATTCCCATAGAGTTTAAATTATCTCCAGGTAACTTATAATAGCTAATATAATATAAATGCTACATAAACAAGTTTTATTGTATATTCGTAGGGAATTCTGTACTTCTTTATAAACAGGATTTATTTTTGTTTTTTATTTTAATTTTTGAGACAGGGTCTCACTGTGCAGTTCAGGTTGGTTTTAAACTCACTATATAGTCCAAGCTGGCCTCAAACTCATGGCAGTCCTCCTGCTTCAGCCTCCTGAGTGATGGGATTACAGGCATGCACCACATGCCTGGCTTACACACAATTTAAAACAATATTTTGCATCTATTGTTGGTTGAATCCACAGTGCAGAATACAAATAAACAGAAAGCAAATGGTATAAATAAATAAATGACATTTTTAAGCAAGGGGAAGAGAAAGTTCTACTTTGTATTAGAATGACAATAAGTGAACAGGTAACAACAAAATCTGAACATCATAATGTGGTAACCATCACAGTATAAGTGGTTCAGGCAAGAATCATCAATGGATACTAAAATTAATGGGTAAAAATTTTGTGATGAATAAGATATGGCTACAATATTATTGGGCTTCATGTCAGAAAATCTCTCAAATGATTAACATACACATATACATATATATATATATATATTTTAACAGAGAATAATGAAGCAAATGAGGTAAGGGTTAACAACTAGGGGATCTAGGCTAAAACAAAGTTCTTCAATCTTGTATTTTTGTAATAAATTTGAAAACACTTCAATATAAAAAACAAATTAAACTGTAAGAAATGTCCCTTTAACGCTACTTAATCTAGTTGCTTAATTCATCTGTTAGTTAATTAATGTCCTACACACTTTGATCTTCACATAAGCCTTCATCATTAACCAGAGGAGTGGATGATACCTCCCTTGGACATACATCCTCTAGAGCCATGAACTAAATAGATTTCTTTACTTCAAAGATTACCCAGCGGTAGCTATTTTGTTACAGCAACAGAAAATGTACTAAAACACACTCTTCTCACTCAAAAGTCCTTGAGAAAGAAAATTCATACAAGTGACTATTGACTATAGGCTGACTTAATTCCTGGTAAGATTTTCTAAAATGTTTGTCTTTCCTAGCAATTCACAAATAGGGAGACTATAATTTTACTAAAACTTTGGAGGATCCATGCTTTTTGCATCTTCTCATTTCTGAAAATTTTTTTTGCTTAAATTCTTTTATTGGTACATTTTAGGTATACAACACGTTTACATTTGTCATTGGGTGCTTGTACCTGTACATAATGTATCTTGGTTCTTATTTTTTCCCCATTCCCTGTGCTCCCTTCACCTCCTCCACCCTTCCCTATTTACAAAGACTTTGTTTCCATTTTTTCCTTTTCACATAATTTTTCCTTTCTCTTCTTTCCTTTCCCCTTCCCCTTGCATTTCCTCTACCTCTTTTGGCCTTTTCTTCCTATTTCAAATTATCAATTATTTGTTTTAATCATTTTAATCCTTATTTACACTTTCAGTTACACTAGAGAAACTGTTCAGTATTTACACATGTGTGTCCTATTTATTTCACTTAAGAGTATGGCCTCAATATGCATCCATTTAGCTATAAATGTCTCTAGTTTCTCATTCTTTATGGCTGAGTAGTACTCCATTTTATTAAAAAAAAATCTCAATGCATATGATTTCTTCCCATTCTCTACAGCATCTAGCACAATACAGAGCAAATATTAGGTGCTAAGAAAAACTTGACTAACTTATTGGAATGTATTCATTAGTTCCTGTACCATAAGAGTACATTTCATCATATTGTGTATGTGCTAAAGACGATTTTCTCATTTGCTTTCATTATACAACCAAAGTTATAACACTAAAATCAGAGATATTATTGTGAAATACTTTAAAAAAATATTTTATTAGATTCTATCATTTTAATCTAATAAACCTCAAACATTTTAAAATAACATATGTACTATAAAGAAGTCAATGAAAGATAATGTACTTAGAACTAGAAAACAGGGATGCTCTATAATGCAAACTATGTCATGTTACTCTATTATAATCTAGTGTTTCCCCTGGGAAACCTCAAGACCTCTAAGAGTTTAATTACCATCTATTTCTAAACAAACTTTAGCCCAAATGACAATGCTCAAGATTTCAGTCTCTGGAGGGCAATATACACAGTAAGACTATTTACTAAGTGTACTTAGTAAAATTATTTAACTTTACTGAGCCTTGATAGTCTCATCTATAAAATAGGGATATTAATATTACCTAAATCAAAAAGTTGCCATCAGGTAAAAATACAATATTATTTTGTGGGGCAGGCGGGATATTATAGACACTCAATGCACACTTACTATTATTGCCATAATTAAATGAAAAAATTCAAAAATAGGATCCCCAAGTGTATATATAGCATGACTCAATTTCATTAAAAGAGCAAAATACACATATTTATAGTAATGTGTTTACGATAAATACATGTTTTAAATAAATATTTTATATACACATAATATACACATTTTCTTTATATACACATATGTAATTAAAGAAAGAAACTACACAAGTGCACATGACAGAGATTGATTGAAAAAAGATCTAAAGAAAATGAACCATCAGAGTTATCATCTAAGAGCAGTAACAACACATTTTTATTCTTACACTTCATTGTATTCTTCAGATTGTTTTCCACGAAAAATGGTTACTTTTGGGCTAGGGATTTAGCTCAGTGGCACTGCACTGTCTTGTAAGTGCAAGGTCCTGAGTTTGACCCCCAGTACCAAAAAGAAAAAAGGTTACTTTTGAAAATATCACTGTTTTTAAAAACTTTTTTTAAAATGAGCCATTTTTAGGGTGTTTTATCTGCAAAAATTTTGTTCACATTACTTACGGAATTTAGTAAAATATGTTATAGGTCCATTGCCTTACATGATCTGCTTGTTTCTTTTCATCCCAGAATAACTATGAAGTACAAAATAAAAAATATGATTACCCTCTGTAAGTTCCACTCAGGTCGTCCACCAGTTCCATCGTGTCCTATCCTTATCTTATATATCTCTCCAATGTTTCTTATTTCAACCTGAATAAGATGCAGAGGAGAAAAATTAGCAGAATGTTTTAAATTTAGTATATTAAATATTTTTTCTCTTCTTCATACTAAACACATTTGGTATTGTTGTTGTTGTTCCTAATAGTTTAAAAGCTTTCTGAGATCCTTTCAGAATCTAGAAATAAAGCCCTCTGAAGGAGCCATCGGTGAATCTCACAAACACAGAATATGAAACATAAATATCATGCAATGACCAAAAATATGTAGAAGGAGTCAGATGAAAAAATAGAATAAAGAACATGCATATGCTCGGTTTTCTGACTACCACACATTTCTCACTGGAAGCCAAATCTTTCTGAAATCCTATGACAAAAAGATGGGCTCTTATTTTAAAAAGGAAAAAAATCAATTTTAACTAGAGAAAATCTAAATATACAGCAATTTCTACAAGTTAATGGAAAGTACTTATGAGTCTAGAACTTCTTTCTACTTTGAAAATTCTTTGAATTTCAGGCTAAAACAGGAATGTTTTAAGTTTAAGGAAGAGAAATTTCTCCACGGAGTATCTGTACCTGGTTATTATTTTTTTTCACTTGGTTAATTTTTGACATGGTATAAGAGTATTCATTAATCCAGATAATACTGTAGAAAAGTAGCTTTAGAATTACTTTGAATAAACTGAGATGCTGCCTGTTGTAAACTGAGTAAAATATGATGTTTTACATCTCCAAGCATCGCTGTTTTATCTATTGAATGGATATAATTCTACTACATAAAATTTTCATTTCAACTACTAAATATTTATTAATAACTAATGTATGCACTGTACAAGGACCTAAATAAAAATCATGATGAAGTCCCTGATTTGGAGAAATGTATAGCCTATGGAGGGAGATAGATCAATAAGCAGGTATTTTCAGTATAATATATTTAGAATATTGAACCGTAAAGATTTAAAAATGTACTATATCACATTATTTGATGGCTTAACTAATAGCAACTATTATTATTATTTCTATTATAGGTAACAATCTATTGCAGCAGGCTAAAAACTTGTAGGTTATGTCTGACTTATACCACTGCCTACCTATGGCCTGGACCCTGAAGAAGCTAGGACAGTTAAGCAATCCAGAAGCCATCATGACTCCCCTTTTCATATAAATATCCCATGCTTTGAGACTTACTTATTTATTTGGTACTGGGGATTGAACTCAGAACCTTGCACTTGCGAGGCAGGTGCCAGCACCACTGTGCTAAATCCCCAGCTCACTTTGAGATTTATTTTAAGTGCCCATCACCTTTCCCCTATACACTGTAGCAGCTAGAATAGCCCTGGGCCTATCACAGCACCAGGTCAAGAGGGATTATGATGACACCAAATAGAAGGAAGCAAAAGAAGGATGTTAATACCTCACAGCCAAATTTTTCTTTTCTTTTCTTTTCTTTTTGGTACCAGAGATCAAACTCAGGACCTTGTGCTTGCAAGACAGTCATGGTGCCACTGAGCTAAATTCCTGGCTCCTAGCCAATTTTTTCAAAGCTTTCTGTTTCTGGAGCTGATTTCAAAGGTAGAAAGTGGAGGCTAGCTCTTCTCATCATAGCAAGTAGGAAGTTAACTTACACTCTGAAAGGTAAACCAACTTATAAATATCCTTTTGTTGTTCCCCAAAGGTATTAGCACTTCAGTGTAAACTTTCCCTTTTCCACATTCTAAGTGAAAACAATGAAGGAGTATCTGAGCAGGAAAGTTACCAAGCTTATGTCACTTCATGTCTGTCTATCTTTTAGTTCAGGACAATGGAACTACCATGTAGTGCCGTTAGTTCTGTGCCAGGCAGTATACAAGTGCTTGACATGCGTGACTTTTTCCAATTGCATGCCAACCTTGGAAGGAGTAAGGCTCTTTAAAGAGTCTATTTGAAATGAAGAAACTCAAAGAGATTAAGTAATATATCTAATGATACATAGCTGGATACATAGTAAGTTCTAAGAGTGAACTCAAGTTTGTAGTCACATACACTGCACTGTCTCTCAGAACAGAAATATTGTATGTTTGCTTCAAAACAAAAAAAGAGAATAAAAGGCCAGAAGTGCAAATAATGCCAATAAAAAGGAAAAAGGGAATGGGTACCCATAGATGAGAGAGAGTAGCAATAAGCTATCTAATCATAATTTAGGGCCCTCAGACTATCAAGTGGCCCCAGTCCCAATGCCTCATAACCCCTAGTTCAGTGCTTCTCAAACTTTAGTGTATACACAATCACCTGGGGACTTTGTGCAAATAAATGCAGATTCTGGCCCAGTGGATCTAAGATGGAGCCCGAGATGCTGGAATTATCCCAGATGACACTCATGAATTTAGCTTGAAGACAAAAAGACTGTAGACTCCAGTAACCTCTGGCAAGCCTTTAAAGTAAATATTACCCTGTTTGATCAAGAAGGAAACCGAGGATTTGTGAGGATAAGCAGTTTATTCAAAATAAGAGAACTAATGACAGCTGACTTCAGTTTGGATTTGTGATACTATAACTCCAAAGCCTCTTTTCTTAACCAATTTACTACATTTCCTATTTGTCAATAAGATTGTTTTTAAAGGTTTATACATTTTCTCTTTTTGTCATCAGACTATCCTGGAATTTAGAAAATAATATTATTGCCCTCATTGTACATATAAAGATAATGCTGACCTAGAGAAATTAAGTTACATATTCAAGGTCACGCAGCTAATATACAGGAAGCCAGGACTCCTATCCTGCTCTCCTGCTTTGCAGTCTAGTGTTGTAATTAGGATTCTCAATCTTAACTGCACTACACAATCATTTGTGGAACTTTTAAAAACATCAATGTCCAGGCTTACCCCCCAACAAAATAAACCAGTCTCTGGAGATGGAATCAGTCATCAGTAGCTGTTAAAGCTCCCCAGGTGGTTCCAATGTACAATCATGATAATCTGTATCATTCATTCTAAGAGTCAACCTCAGTAAAATTTTTCAGAAAAACATTGATAGGATTTACCAGCACATAAATACATATACCACAAGGTATATTATAGAAAATAATAGCCTTCTGTGAGATGGCCTTGGCATCTCATTATAATACATATATTCTAAACAATCACCTTAAACTAATCTTTGAAATATACATACTATGTGTACAAGGTTTAATTGCCTATGTATTGAGAAAAAGTACTCCTTTATGACTGCAGACAACTGCTTTTCTTCACTAAAAATTTAGTAACTGCAAAAGAAGAAAAGCTCAGATATGAAGATCTAGAAACCATTTCAGTATTAGTGAATCCCAAATACTGCAGCCCCAAAAAGCCTTGGCTTCCTAGTGACTTGGGCTGGATTCAATCATTCTATATCCTCTAGCCAGCCTTAGGATGCAAAGGAAATACTCTCCAGAGAGAATGACTGCTGTTTAACAGTACACCAAAAAACTATACAGCTTTCATGCCACAGGGGGTTGTGAATTGGTGAAGTAGAAAGTAATTGTCCTAATTGAAATTTGGCAAAGCTCTGAAGAGCTAGACAAGGCAACCAGCTGTATTTCAAACAAAGCAGCCCAGTGTTCTCCAACACTAAGAAATAAAAGAGAAAGAAATTGGAATGAGCATGGGTAGAGTTTTAGAACATGGCCTATAAAGATGCCAAGAAAATGATTTCACATCCATAGAGCTCAGCTAAAACACATCTGGAAGTACATACAAGTGTACACGAGAGGGGTTTTCATTATCAAAAAGGTCCCCTTAGATGGCTTATGATATAGTTATAAATTGAGTTGATGTTGATGGTTTATAAAGTCACTTTCAAGTCAATGTACTAAAACAAATTATCTTTAAAGAAAGCAATTTTTTCAACAACTTTCCTTGCTCACATAATATGTGAGCAAAAAAAAAGTTTCCTTTGATTATTGTAATAGGCATTAAGGTAACTAACTTAGGGTTCTAAAACACTACAGGTTTATTTTATACAGGATACACATATGCATGCCCACTCATAAAAATCACACTCTTATTTTACAGAAATGCCTTTGTAGTGCTCAAAGAACAGTATTACTGTCAATATTGTTTACCTGAAATTCATCCTCCTGTCTTGGAAGGAAGAGCTGCTCTGGGCTATCCTTGCTAAGACTTACTGGTCCAGTGACTCCTTCATCTCCATATACCCAGAGTGTGACATTGGCCTGAGTTCCTGTATTTCCTGTCAGCACTAACACCTTCCATTCATCTTCTGACAGAAGATTTTCACTGCTGTGGGAATGTCTGATTTCTTCTATGGAAGAAAAAAAGCATTACTGGAAGATCAGATACAACATAAGGTTGACAAAATTTTTGTCATACCTGAGCCCAAGGTCATTAAAACTGGGCAGAATGGGCTGGGGTAAGGCAGGGAGGAACTGAATTTCCAGGACTCCAGGCAGCTGATTTGTGCTTGTCTCCTCACAGCAAGGTTCTGGTCAACTAAACTCAACAACTGAAGTAAACTGAATTAAAACAATAAACACCTGAAGAGTCTAGCAATTTTTTTAACTTGTCCTCAGTGCCACAGCATAGAGGGCACGCTAGGGTTTGCAGTTCTGTGATCACAGATTTTTCATAAAGCTGCCTACTTGCCTTATGGCTTTTGTATATAAATACTAAACAAATATAAGTAAACAGGTTTTCAAATGAGATATAAAAATAGCAAATAGAGGACAAAAACATTTCTAAAATATTCCTGAAATCAAAGACCTCTTCTCTGAAAACTATAGCACTTTGAAAAAAGATATTGAAGGGGATATCAGAAAATGGACAGACATCCCCTGGTCCTGGGTAGGAAGGATCAACATAGTGAAAATGGCCATACTTCCAAAACTGCTATATAGATTCAATGCAGTCCCAATTGAAATCCCAGCAGCATACTTCACAGACCTGGAGAAAATAATCCAGAAATTCATTTGGAACAAGAAGAGACCCAGAATAGCAAAAGCAATTCTAGGCAACAGAGACATGGCAGGGGGTATCACAATTCTCAACTTGAAAGTATACTACAAAGTTACTGTGATTACAAACAGCATGGTACTGGCAAAGAAACAGAACTGAAGACCAGTGGAACAGATTAGAAGATGCAGAAACAACTCCAGACACACTCAGCCACCTCATCTTTGACAAAGGAGGCAAACACTCTCGCTGGAGGAAAGACAGTCTCTTTCATAAATAGTGCTGGAGAAACTGGGTTTCAACTTGTCAAAGACTAAAACTAGACCTATATCTCTCACCATGCACTAAACTAAAATCAAAATGGATTAAAGATCTAAATATAAAAACAGAAACGCTGAACCAGCTGGAAGAGAGGTTAGGTAGAACTCTTCAAGACATTGGGGTAGGAAAATAGTTTATGAACAAAACCTCAGTTGCCCGTGAACTAGCACAAACAATCAACAAGTGGGATCTCTTTTTACTAAAAAGCTTCTGCACAGCAAGAGAAACCACCAGCAGTGTGAAGAGACAACCCACAATGTGGGAAAAAATCTTCATCTGCTCTTCCTCAGACAAAGGTCTACTATCTCGAATCTATAAAGAACTTAAAAAAATCAGACCTCCCAAATTAAAAAACCCAATCCAAAAATGGGCATCTGAAATGAACGGACATTTCTCAGACAAAGAAGTAGACATGGCAAATAAACATATGAAAAAATGTTCAACATCACTGGCCATTCAAGAGATACAAATGAAAACAACGTTGAGATTCCACCTCACTCCAGAAAGAATGGCTGCTATCATGAAATCAACCAATAACAAATGCTGGTGAGGCTGTGGGGAAAGAGGAACCCTGCTCCACTGCTGGTGGGAGTGTAGACTGGTGCAAGCACTGTGGAAATCAGTATGGAGATACCTCAAAGAACTAGGACTGGAAGTCCCATTTGACCCAGCTATTCCCCTGCTGGGTATCTTCCCCCAAAGAATTAAAAGAATCATACCACAGTGATATATGTGCACCCATGTTCATAGAAGCACAGTTTGTGATAGCTAAAACTTGGAAACAGCCCAAATGCCCATCAACTGGAGACTGGATCAAGAAAATGTGGTTTTTTAATAAAACGGAGTACTACTCAGCCATCAAAAATGAGAAATTAGAGTCATTTATTGCTAAATGGATGCACATTGAGGTGATACTCTTCAGTGAAATAAATAGGACATACATGTGTAAATACCGAAGTTTCTCTAGTGTGAGAAACTGAAAGTGTAAATAAGGACTAAAAGGTATAATAGATAATGTGAAATAGGAAGAAAAGGGGCAAAGGGGAAGGGGAAATGGGAGGGGTAGGGGAAAGGAAAGAAGGGAATGGAATTAATATGAGAAAATTAAAAAATGGAAAAAAGTCTTTGTAAATAGAGAAGGATGGAGGGGTTGAAGGGAGGGCAGGGGAAAGGGGAAAAAAATAAGAACCAAGAGAGTATGTAAAGGTGCATATCTCCAATGATGAATGTCATTATATTGTACAGCAAAAATGTACCAATAAAAGGATATACAAAAAAAATATTTCTGAAAAAAATACCTAATTGGAGAGGCAATGAAAGCATCTGGAACTAATGAGAGAATTTTCACGTATACAAGTGGTCCCTGAGGTGCTCAGAGCATTTTCCTATGAGAAGAGGAGCTGCACAGTTCTGATATTTCACAAGGCACCCTCCATAAGTCAGAGGTGTTCAAACAGCCACTCTTGGTTTATAGAGTGCTAGGACATCTCTCACTGGGATGGTTGTCTTCTTTATAGTCTCTTGAGCCTGTTGTCTTCCCCCAAGAAGATACTGGGGCCTGCAGTGCTGACAGCAACTTCCTGTACTGGTAGTCTGGAACTACCCCCATATCAGGATCTTAATTCTTAACAGATATTTTCACATAGAAATATTATATAGTCAAGATAATGAAGTAAATTTCTTCATGTACGATGTGAAAAGGGAGTCAGAAACTGAAACTATAAGCAGTCCATATGCAGCATCCAGGATCTTAGGAGTACAACATTAACAATGATGACAAACACAACAAATAACTAGTTATCTCCTGCTAATCTATAGCAAGCTAATTTTAATATAATAAAAACTATCCAGGAAATTATAAATGGAAACAAGTGCTATGAAATAATAAACATTCCTTTTTTAAATGTCTTGGATAATCTCTATCATCATAACAGCACACATTTTCTCTTCATTTATAACAATAATCATTATTTATTAAGCTCCTAGTGTATGCTGCTGGACTGTACTGAATGTGTCATATGCATTTCTCATTCAATCTTCACTATACCCTGTGAGGAAATCAAATTATGATGTTCATTTTTAGGTATAAAAAAAGAGGGTAAGGGATTAAGTAATATGCCCAAGCCACATAATAAGCAAACCATGGGAAGTTTAACTCCAAAGCCCCTGCCCATTAACAAAACTTGGTAGGTGTTCTGTGTTCACCTAAATACAATTCACCAGGCCACAGCAGCAGGGACCCTGCTAGCATTTCAGATTATATTCTATGCTAAATACTCTAAGTATTTAACATTCATTATCATGTCAGTCTGACTCCATCTTCACACTAGTTCCATAAGGTAGTACCCCCTATTCACCAAGTGATCAAACCAGGACTCAGGATAAGTAACCTGCCCTTCTACATAGGCAGAAGCAACTAACTAAGCTTAAAACCCAGGCAGAGCAAGTGTGAATTCCAGGCCATTCCGGATATAATAATATCACGTTAAGGTAGCTGATCTGTAAATGATGACAAAAGTTAGTCAAAAAATTTTTATTTTACAACCTACTTTTCAAAACTCAAATATTACACATGACTTCCTTATTGCTCTGCCTGCCATTTCTAGTTAAACACACTTGTAATTTCCTTAGGCCCTGTGAAACAGCAGATCTCTACCAGAAACAACCCACATTAATGAGTCAAGAGAGTAAATAGTGATCCTTGGGGCAGCAAGGCATTCCTTAGGATGCTAATCATTTATTTAGTAACTTATGAGGATCTTAGTCATGTGAAAAAGATCCTTTTACTCAGTTCAAAAAAACTTTAATTCTTATTAATTTTGGGCACCATGTTAGGTTTATTGTGCATGTAATAATGGAACTCATTAAAAGTTTGAAAAATAAATAACGAGATATATACAAGTGGAGAAGATAGGCCCATAAATATATTTGAAACATTCAAATACATTTATAGCAAACAAAAGAAATACTGCGAAGTTCAAATGTGACAGAGAACGAAGAACGGTAACTATGGAGGAGAGAGCAGGAAGGGTTTCTCAGGGAGAACCTCAGTGCAGGATGTAGAAGCAGGAATCCCAATTTTGCAAAAACATGAGGCTGGGTGGGTAGCTCAGTGTTAGAGCACTTGCCTAGCATGCACAAGGCTCTGTGTTCAATCCCTGGGACTCGAACAAAAAAAAAGCCTAGAAGAATTTTACAAAAAAAGGCAGGAAGGGCATTCCAAACAGAGGGAACAGCGTGGTGTGAGCACTGGACATGCTGTAAGAACTGCAGGTGGCGATGTACAGCTACACATCACTTAAGATACTATGTGTGAAGAGGAGAAAGGAACGTTAAGATTGTGGCGGGCACAAGTAAGTTAGAAGAGAGTTGGCACACCCTTGTACAGACAATAAGAAGAGATGCTTAGGTACAGCGGCAATAAGATTTCAGCCTTAGAAAGATCAGTCTAAAACAGGGTGAGCTGAGCAGGAAGAAACTGAGGAAGGAAGTCAAGTGAACGGTGAATGCTAAACAGTACAAGCACACAAACCTGAAGTGAGATCAGGAGAATCTGGTAATGTTGTCATGTAGTTTTGGGGGGTGTTCACATGTGTGTGTATTTAGCTTGTCTGATATAATCCGCAAATGAGTTGGTCTCCCTAGCTGCTTCTTCATTTATTTAATTACATCATTCACACAAATATAACACATAAGGTGCACTCATACTATAAAAATGTATGGCCTAATATGGTATAACCTGTTACATGGAATGATGCATTAAAGTTGGTGCTACTCTCAATTCAACATGAATACCATCTAATGCCACAATATTTTGGAAGTGAATCAAAGGCTACTAGTCTCAGGCTATAAATTTCTCTATCTTAGAATCACAAAGCTGGCTGCTTTTATTGACCAGAAGTTTAAAACACTCCAAGATGGGAGAATATGTGATGGGGATGCTAGGTTAGGCAACAGACCCTTTACAGGTCCTCCTGAATACAATCCGTGGTACCTGAAAGGCATCTGGCTGACTTAGACAGTGTTCTCAGC